GAAACATTTGCGAGCATTTGCCTGTGATGGTCTCGTTGCTTGTTTTTCCAGATGCGCAGGAGGGGCTGGATCACATCAAGCAGTGGAACTCCTTGCATTTGCTCTCCGAAGATGCCCGCCAGCCTTGATTAATGGTGCCCGCCAGCTTGTGTGGGGAAAACTACTCTAGACAAATACAGCTTTGGACTCTCGGTGTCCAGAGTGCAAGCAAAGATACACCAGGGACTTTCTGCTTCTTTGAAGGTTTGCAAGAACAGTTTGCTGTTTTGGATGTGTGGCATTCTCTTCAGTAAAATGTTCTGGGGTTCATAATAAGGAAGATTCTGTGTAGATAGTTAGTCAATAATTCCTATTAAGAAGGTGCATCGCTTATAAAACCATCAGGGATTACTGTAATCCAGGGTTCGTATTGTTGATCTTGCAACCACAGGCAGAGTCACTGTTCATTGGAAGTGCATTGAGCATCGCCAAACTATTGAGAAGTTCTGCCAGGTGTTTTGCTGACTTGGTCCTCCCTTCTGCCCCGTTGTATCCCGGATGTCATGGTAGTCAAGTTTTGGCTCACTTTCAATATAACAACATGGAGTGAGAGTGAAACGACTTTTTGATTGCATGCCCAGTGTCGACCAATTGCGGGAACTTGCCTTTGTAAATTGGAACATAGAGCCACCTAAGACAAATTAAGTTGACCGTGGCAATGTTCTAGTATGTAGAGGGCTAAATACAAGGACGATCCAAAGCCAGCTTGTGCTGATAGGAGAGCGACAAGAGAGGTTCAGAAGGGTGATAGTTTTGAAGCACTTGAACTTATATGTTCCATTACATAACTATTTATACATCTCAATATACTGTTTTACTGTCCATAGGTCTTTCCACACTTCTCCCCATGCCTTGGACAGTATACTGTCGCTGGACCTTGGAAGCCAGGTGATGAAAGCAGCTCAAGCCACGATGATGAAGACGAAACCTGAATTCTCGAAGCTCTGAGCGACTCGATTCGCCCACGCCACCGGGAGGCCACCGGGAAAGACCTTTCTGATGAACATGGCAATCGCCAAGTGCGAAGAACTACAAGGGTGAACTACAAGGAGTGGTTTCTTTCGAGGGTGCCATAATACCATCATTATACATACATATACCATCATTCCTAAATCGATTGGCACTTTATTCAACCTCCGCACTGATGCGTGAAAACCTCACCCGCTGGTTGAGTGGCTGGGGATGGGCTGGGACAGCGGCCGCGCAGCTGCACTTGGCAGGCGCCACGGAGGGTGGAGGGTGGGCGCCCTTGGTTTAAGCTGAACTATCAATGGCCATCAAAAAGCAACAAAATGGACATGGAAACGGAGATGGACAGGATGTGATGTGATGTGGACAGGAAATGGAATCGAAGCTGAACTATCAATTTATGATGGTTTTTGGACATGGACAGGTCTGGGCTTGGTGATGAGCAAAACAAACACTAGGACAATCATGCTTGCAAGGGTAGACTCTGGTCAAAGGTACACAAGTCAATGTTCAAAATTGCCGGACCAAGTTCTTTGATTTGTTGTACCAAGAACAAACGTAATATATGTACATGATATCTGGAGGGGTTTTGTTAATTATATAGAGGGCGTATAGAAAATTGTCTAGTCTCCACTCACTTAGCGACCAAGTTTCCCACCCCTTGGATTTGCCACTTCTCAGGGGACCCTTCTCCCACCGTTGGGTGCGATGCTGCTTCGCCCGGAATCGCGCACCACACGCGCACACGGTGCGGAACCGCGAAAAAGGGTGTCTCGACATGGCAGGAGATGGAATCTGGTCTCACAGTTGCTGGTCGTATCAAGTAGTACGTACTGCCGTGGTGAGCTTGCCTTCAGGCCATTGAAGAGTGTTTTCAAACATCAGAGCCCCTCCGTTCTCCAGTTTGTTTCACAAATAACTGAATGAGCTACGACCATGGAACCCCCAGCCATGGACAATTGGCGGGGATTACAACCATCCATCCATCCATCCACCCACCCACCCATCCATCCATCCATCCATTCATTCATCCATTAATCTATTCATTCTAAGGGCCTCAATGCGTTTGACAGTCATGCCTGTAGTGGCAGGAGCCAGCCCCTGGCGGCCCTGGCGCCGTTCGTCCCGTCCGTCTAGCGATGACTGTTCAGTGCCTTGCGGGATACTTATGACTCACCCATGGAGTTAGACAGCAAGTCTTGGAATTCTTCCTGTGGCGGCAACGTCTGGAAAATCTTCAGAGTTGCTGACCCGAAGAAGGCACAGCAAGAAGGCACAGCAAGTGTATCGTCCAACGGCCATACATGAACTTGGACTGAAGTTGAACGGGCTTGGTGGCCAGCTTCTTTCGTTTCTTTACCGACCTGAGTGCTTTCAATGTTGGGGGGGATGATTGCGCTCCAGTCAAAGGGAGCCAGGTAGCCAATATAGTCTTACTTTGAGCAGTGACATGACGAAACTGTCTCCTGTTCTTGGCTCGATAAGTTGATTTTTTCAAATGATGTGCGGTAGACAGTGGTTGTTCCTAAACCAGCCCGGAGTCTTGAGTTTTCTGCCAACGCATTAGTTTGGTTCAATACAGTTCCTCACCTTTGGTGATGTTCATATCAAGAAAAACTATAAATATATATATATATATATGTACACTAGTATGTACACTCTTTTGAGCAGTCATTAGCATTTGCTCCCATGCGTCCGCTTGCCGAAACCAGCACCTTAGTTGCACTGGAAATCAGGATCTGGCCACGAAAATGTTTGCTCTTAGCGTTTGGTAGGTCGATGTCTGCATGTGAGGGATGGTCGTGGGATTCAAATATTTCCAGTTGGTTGTGGGGCAAAATCAAACAGTTTAAACTTTCAACAACAGGAACACAGGCGCATACAAGGTTCAACGCAGATCACCAACAATCCCATGTTCCATGTCCAGGTGCTTTCGTTCGACGCATGGAGCAATTTTTGGATGGATCCCTTGCAGGATCATGAGTTTCCAAAGGAAACATCCTTTCTTGAACGAAAACTAGGGTATTGCCTATTGCAGAAAAACTTGAAGTGTTTTAGATTCCAGAGTTACCGAAGAACACAAAGGCCAACCATTTTTTGGAGTACCAACTGGTTGCAAGGAAGTGGGTGTTTTGGGGCGCACTTAGAGTTCTAAGATCAGTCACATGTGTGGTTTCCAACTAATCACAACTTGCTAGTGGCCGATCCCACACTTAACCACAAACTTCCCCGGAATCCCAACTCCCACGAGTGTCGTTGTTCGGAGTGGCTGCGCTCGGTTCGCTCGTTCATCGCTCGGTTCACCGGGAGTCGTAGGACGCCACACCGCAGAGTCTGCGGAGTGAGAAGCATCGTCGGAGCCACTTGGCTGAGAGGAACGGTTGGCAGAACTTACACCAAAAGAAAACCCAGGAATACAATGAATATAGAACCTGAACATGGAGTTTTAGAAGATGGAACCAGTGGTTTTTCAGGTTCCATGTTAATCTTCCAGGGTGTATGTCCCATGTCATTTGTCATGACTCTGATGACTTGTAAGGTAGCACGCGTTCGATGTCTGACCTTGGACATGCTTAAGCTTTGGTCGGCGATACCAATCATCTCGCAGGGAGTAGTGGGATTGGCAAGAGTGCCCTTGCATGATTGCCTTTGTTTGACCTGAGCACGACATGGTATTCCATGTGAGAAGAGACCATCTCGTGGAAAGGACTTTGCGCACAAAGTACAGAGCAAGAGCTAGTCGGGGTTCACTCCCTTAATGTTATAGAGATATCCAACAATGGACAACAGAGCAATTTTACCGACGGTTTTGGGGTATAGCCTTTTGGCTCGTTATCCAGCAGGCCAAGTAGCAGATCGACGTTAGATGAGATGCAGAGGGGCTCCCCCAGACCCAGACCACATGGCATTTGCACATGAAACTTTTAGGACGATCCCTTACATGGTTTCCTTGGAGACTTGGCCTGTTTTAGCATGGGAGGGCTACAAGATGTGGCTGTACTCGTAAGATGTAGCATGTTTTTGACTCCTCGACTCCTACGTCTATCCCGATGGGAGAAATGTGAAGGTGGAAACCAGCTGAAGATCGATGGAGTAATTCTTGATGGTGGAGGCTTTCCAATTTTCCCGCACAGAATAGTGGGGCCAGCAATGGTCACAGCCTTCATGGGTGTGTATGGTGTAGGCTGGACATGTCTGGAATATAAATCTACATTTCAACCCTTCTCCTACATAAACAACTTGCCTTGGAGAAGTGCGGAGGAGAAGGGACTGACGCTTTGTGTTGCTCGCAGCAAAAGCCAAGGGAGTCGCCGAGTTTGGGCCGATCGGCGTAGAAACTCGGCGACTCCAAGATGAACTCCCCTTACATAGACCTGGACATCAATCCCCATGAAGCGTGACTACTCTTGCCATGACAGTTACAGTTACGCTTGGGCTAAGTCTGAGGCTTGCGACTATGTAACATTCTTAAGTAACGGCAAGTGGTTCCAGAGCAGCGTTCTGAACGGCGAACAGCATACTGAACGCCTCGCATACCTTTTGGCTCCAGTAGTCAGAGTTTATGGTGTGTTCGTGGCTTTCAAGCTTTTGTTGCTGTCTTGTCTATATATATAGAGTCTTAAGATAATAATATAACAATATATAACAATGGTTCAATGAATGCCCTTTATATAATGTTGTTTTTGATTCATCAAAACATTGAATCATTGAAGTTTATTGAAGATACCGTAGTTTCATGTAGTTTATCAATCCCAGTTGTTCATCCTCTCTTGTACGCTGGCTTGTCGAGTGAACGTCTTTTGGCGTCTTTGTTGTACCCACAACCACGTGGATGTTGACTCCAACTCCCGCCATTTCCAGCCTCAATCAATCGCGTGGAAGCTGGACTACTCTCAGACCCCTTTCCCATAACCTTTTCCGTTTGAAGCAGCGCAACCCACGGGGTTGCTGCTACCCGGCCGCGGTCACCGCGACTTTGGGTTCGTCACCGCATGGCGCAAAAGTCGCTGGAGCCGGGGATGTTGCGCTTGATCTCCCATGGCTCAGATGTCCTGGAGGCTCGGCGGTCGAACGGGTTCGCTCCCCGGGAGGTTGGGTTTTTGCACGGGTTCCGGAGCCGGGGAAGCCAACATGGAAGAGAAGCTTAGGGCTATACATATATGGGGCAGAACCAGGATACCTTGGTTGAAATACCGACGTGAGCGCCGTTCGCTACATGGTGGACCCGGGCTCCAGGTGTTCACCCATCCCCAATCATCAGACTTGGACTCTCCTGGCGCCTCCATCAATCAGTGTCTCCTGTCTGAGCCTCAAAAAAGAGGGGATGTATCGGGTCACCTAATTACTGCCCTCCAACAATGCCCCCCTTTGAAGACGTTATTCCTGTATCCCTAAAGGGCGATTTCCACTTCCATGATGGTTGCAGGGAGGGTAACACCTCCAGAAACCTTTGGTTTCACTGGCACCCCAAGATGTCCTTTAGATGGGGATCCATATAACTACTTTTGGGGTCGTGCCATCTACTCTCAAGCCACACTGTGTAATGTTATAGAAAGGGCTAACGCCCTGGTGCCGCCGACCCCCATTTAGGTCGCCAGGCAGATGCGTGAACAAGACGAGTCTTTTTCAATATGGTCCAGCTTCACAGGCAATCTAATGACACACTACACTTCCTATACATCATTATACGCTAGCCCGAGCCAAAACCTCGGTCTCGCCACGGCGAAACACCCTGGCCCTGAAGGTTTGAACGAAGCAGCGCGTGAGCGCTGCCAGTGTCTAACGTCGCCTTCAGAGCCCCAATAGAAAGAGGAGGCCAGGAAAAGCCCTAGGTAGCTGCAGGCGTGCTCTGGAGGCTGCAAGAACCAGACCACAACCTCAGTGTCATGGGCAGACATGGGCAGAGATTGCAGAGAGAGAAGGAAAAGCAACGGAGGGGACACAAAAGAAGCGCAAGGCCGAGCACAAACGCAAAAGCAGACGGAACAGAAGCGAGCACGGAAGGGCCTGCAGATGCGCGTGGCAAGCAGAAAGAAAGCAACAGCGGGACACTGCCGACACAGGGAGGGAAAGCCGCGCTGCCGTACAGTTATCGCTGCCCACACTGCACTGGGGAAGTGCAAAGCACCATAACCAGCGGCCAAGTCAAGCATGGGGTCAAGCACTGCGGAAACGGTTTCGCGTGCATCACAGCAGCATATGTGGGCAAGTGCACCCCCACCAGTGCCCGCAGTGTGGGGCCGTGGTTCGCAGCAGCGTGCACCAGGGCCGCATACAGATCACCCACAAGACGCCCGTAAGGCGCACGTGCCCGACAACGTCGTGGCGGGCATGAGCCCTCAGTGTTGGAGGCCGCGGGCAGGGTGCCTAACAGCAGCTTCGAAGCCCAATAAAAAGAAACTTGTGAAGGCGCCGCCCCGCCTACAAAAAAAGCTTGCAGAGCAGGTACCTTGGTCTCCCCACAGTGTCCGCCCCAGACCAGAGGGGCCAGAGCAGGCAGGGCCAGAGCAGGCACGTGGCAATCGCTTCTCGCTACGCTGTCCCGGGCGCCGCCCCGCCTAGGCGTCAGCTGGGCAGGCGTCGGCGGATAACATACTATGTATATAATAGTCCATAGTATATTGTATATAAGAATATCTAGCATATAGAAGATATTACATAATATTTATATATTGATAAGGTATATACAATATGACTATTTATTGTTGCCTCGTTTGTGGGCGGCACCTCACGGGCGGCCAGAGAGTCGATCCCAGGCGTCGAGTCAAAGCGAACGAAGGCCCTCTGTTTGTTGCAGAAACTTCTTCTCAAAAAGGGATTTTTTTTATATTTTTTTGTGTTTTTCAGTGTTTGTTGTTTTTTCTGTTGGAGGTTATGACCATAGGGTTTCTGGTTCACAGATTTGGGTCGCAACCTGTGAGTTTCGCCGGGATGGTTTTGCTTCATCCTCTTGGAAAAATGGCATGAAAAAACAGCACGGAGGGTCCGGAGAGATCTTTAGAGGATTTGACGTTGTTTGGAACACCTAGCCACAGCTCACCATAAATATATGAATGACTGATGATGACAGTCGATTGAACTTTTATGCGCAATCATACTGGAAGTTGAAGTAGATGCATGAACATGTGTTTGTTGTTTCGATCCATTTTGACACGTAGATATATACATATACATACAATTATATATACAGTATATATATATATCTAACTTACTGATAGAACTGCATTGGTTCAAATTGTCATCACGCAGTGTTTTAATGCGATATACTATAAATCTTATATGTAATAGTTCTTGTGGATTTACCCAGACTCAATCTACTTAAAAGTCTGTGACCGTCGGGTGCCATCGATTCTTCCATGTCGGAGTTTTTGCGTGGTGACGTGGTGACAGGGTCAAGGGACCTTCCTGAGCTCTGTGAGGGATGCCCAGATGACGATGTGGGTGGCGCAGGGAAAACCATCACTGAGAGCAACTTGAAGGGGGTCAATGAACCGACCTAACTGGTGCCTATTGAGAACAGACTATGTTGATGACTAGTGTTATTTTTATCATTCTTTCCTGATAAACCTCATGGATGAGCAAAGGAGAAGGAAGTGTTAGTTTTTCTTTCAACATCCAGAGAATCTGATCCAAATGACATAACACTTGGAGCAGCAAGTTCTCCCAGACACGTGCATCACTTCAGACGCGTACAAGTAGAAGGAGTGGAAGACCTTGCTTTGACTCTTGAGAAGACCAGTGGATCTCACCTAGTGGCGAGTCGCTTTGTGGCTGCATAGCTTTTCGAACCGACGGTGCAGGTTTGTGGAAGACCTATTTTGTGGCTCTAGGAACACAGGTTTGCCGGCCCAATCTCAAGGAATTGTCATGCATATTCGGATCAGAATATATTAGAGTCAGTCTCACTTTTGAAATCCTTCGAAGCACCATGAACCACTTGGGTGATTGGTACCTGAGCCAGCTGTTTATGAGCCGTGGTCGAATCATGAAATGGGCAGCATCACCATGATTCTGCAATTTCTTGGCATTTCCTGACACCATGCCAAACTTGAATGAGGCTATGTGACTTGCATGTTCAGGTCTCTTCCCCAAAAATGCCACGCAATGGCCGAAAAACACCCTTTTTGCCCACTTCGCCACAAAGGAAAACCGCCGCATCCACGCCGCAGAACACGCGCCCTCCTCAAACCGCGTGCGTCGTCCGAGGTCATCAACCTGAGCGCCGCCACCATGGGGTGCAGCATCCTCGCCTTGCCGCAAGTCTTCGCCCACTGCGGCATGACCCGGGCGGGTCATACGGCGGGCCGTACCGCCACCGGTCCGGTGGCTTGCGGTTTTTGTTGGTGGCTGATTGGACCCAACAACAGTCTCATGTTTGCTTGTTGTATTTTGATGTTTGCTTGTTGTATGTGGTTTGTTCCGCACCATTGATCCATTTGAAGAAACGTCCCCATGTAACACAAAAGGTTGGGTTCATTGTTTGAACACGTCTTTGCATGATTATGTTAGGGAGGGGTGAACCTGGCTGGGGAGCGGCCTTGAATCTGACAGGTTTTCTACCAAAGAAGACTATGAGGAACATTGAGGAACAATCTTGGCAAAACTCCAGGACACCGAAAACACAGTGGTTCCCCCTAGTTCCCCTTGCTTGGAAAACCATGTGATATCACTCCTTCCCGTTTGGATATATAAATACACGGTCCAAGTCCAGAGTAGCTACCACGACTTGGAGGACAATCAGGGAGAAGACTTAGCAGCCGTAATACGCAGCCCGACCCCAACTGATGTCGACCCCAGTTTCGGTTGAGCCTTGTGCCTTCTTCTTGGTTTTCGGCTCTTCACGTTTCCAGCCTCCTTTGAGCCGTTTTTTCCGCTGTTCCGCTTTTCCAGGAGCTGGAGTATGGCGTTCTTGCTGATCTTTTCGTTGCGGCTCACCTTGACCATGTCGAAAGACGACGTCGATGGTCAATGGATTTCACCATCGGTTGAATGTCTTCGCGAAGCTGCTAGCAAGCCTAAAATAATCATAAACTTTTGGTTTTGGTTTGGTGTTTGGGTCAGCAGACGGTCATTGAAGATGGGTGTTGCTTGTACAGTCTGGAAGAACTTGTGTGGGTCAATATGATGTCGCTTCTCGAGAAAATTCATGAATGCAGGTTTTGATATGCTTACACCCTATGTTACCCGCTGACATGGATTTCCGTTTTCAAAGTTGGCTCCACCAGAGTTGGCCAGTTGATTGGACATATATAGGGTATCTTAGGGTCGAGACACTTCATCACAGAGTTGGGGTGCTTGATCAATCAGAACAACAGGTGCCTCCTCAGGAGGCTTCAATATACTTCAATACTTGTGAGACCGATCTTTGTGGTCAAAAGTCAAGACCTTGGTTCCTCCCAGGTGCCACCAGGTGACGGTTTGGTCAAGTGATACAACAAATCCCCCCCTGTCAGGGCCCACATGGACCCACATTCGAGGGCGTATGTTCGACATGAACCTCCCCATGCAGCGGTTCGTCCACCCATACTCTTGCATTCTCTTGGGATTGGTCGATACTCTTTTTCCCCCCGTTCAAGCCGAATTCGGCTAATTCGTTATCTGCCCTCCGCCCTGTGCCGTGTTCTGCCCAGGTGGGTCGAATTGTCCTTGCGTTGGTTGGTCGCATGTGGGCGCTATAGCGGCTATCGCGGCTTCAAGGACACCCGGTGCTTCGCTGCTCGAGTCGCGAACGCGAGGGGCCATGGACGGACTGGTGAAGACCTGGAGAAACCAGAGAAGACCTGCTGTCGATAGCGCCTGCTGTCCACCTCAGAAGCCCATCCAAGCTATCCACGGCAAGGTACCATGGACACAAGGAGAACTGCAGGAAACCTCACGCTTCCCAAGTGGTACATGTCAATCAACAGGCAGTATGATTGAGGAGCTGTTCCTGATTTCATGTTTTGTTCCCCGTGGAAGGTCATTATTCCGAGATCCCTTGAGATCTGCCCCCAACGAGATGAGATCCCTTTCGCAAGCAACGATGATACATGATGATACACTGTATATAGATGTATATAGAGTGTTCCCCAAATAGATGGACACAGATTTCAATACTGTACATGTTCAAGAGATTTCAGGAAACCATGCCTGTCTCTTATCGTTTGTGGGGAGAAAACGCAGGAGAACGCACAGTACTTCTTGGGCGCGTCGTCCGCGAAGCTGGTGCATCTCTGCCAGGCGACGGGTCCACGGACGGGGACCGCCGAGCGCCGGAGAGACGAGACGGGTGTCCGGTCGCCGTGGTTTGACTGGCCACACGTTTTTGTTTTTTGCGCATAAATGTAGTGTGTTTAAACATGAAGATGGATGTGGCCTGAAAAAGGAGAGGACCCAAGAACCCGCAGTTAGTCATCGTTAGTCATGTTTGTTCCTTTCAATGGGGTTTTCTCCCATATTTGACGAGTCGTAGCAGCCAGATGAAGACTCGTTGAGGTGTAGTTGTATTTAACCAAACAAACTAATATGTATACGATACACAGTTTGCACCGGGGGGCCTCGCACTGTTCATCAATGCCAGTGCTAGAGCACGCTAGCTCGCTGCCTTCCAACCCAATTCAAGATATTCAAGGAAACATAGAGGCCAGACTCCGTATGATTCATGATTGCAAAATATTTGTCCCCTTTGCTGACGGGATCTGCAATAGTACCATTATGTCAATTAGATAATGCGATTCAAGTCGATCGTTCTCCCGAGAGAGAGAGAGAGAGAGAGAGAGAGGGGTCAATGGGCATGCCTCCTCTCTAAGCACCAGCCCTTTTGGGGGGCCACCATGAGCACCCAGAGGCTTGGCTGATGCTTTTCGCGTTGGTAGCACCAGGTGCTTTTGCTTTGTGGTGGCATCGTGATGATTTTCGTGACCGCCTGTAGCCTCTTAGGCGGGACAGTGGGAAAGAGCTCGACCGGTGGGAGGACCTCGTGGGAGTTCAATAGAAAATTGTACTGTAGTAGGGTTCTTGTTCCTAGTAGCAAGGCCAGGAGCCCCTAGTAGCGTCCTTGCTCCTAGTAGCGATGCCAGGAGCCCATAGTAGTAAATTATGTCAATGAAAGGGTGGCTTGGTTCCTGAGAGGAGCAAGGACATGCATGAGTCATGGCTTGACGTCAATGCATCGGCTCGTCGTGATGCAGGTCCCGTGTGACAGAGCCGAGCCTGTCAGGTCGGTAGGTGTATGCTCGTCAAGGCGAGGCATATGTGAAGTAGTGATGTGCCATCGACCATCTTCAACCTGAAACCAAAGACCAATCTTCATGACGACCTTCTGACAACAAGGTCATTGTCTTTCATGACATTGAAGTTAGTAGTCACGACTATGCTATACTAACTTCAACGATATGAAGAACAATGACCTTGGCTATCCTCGGGATGCCCTAAGGAACACATCTTAGGATCGCTCAGGACGTCTGAAGCTGCTGCAAGCGCTATACGACAGGCTTTAGACCCACACCACCCACGGCAGTTTGGCAAGTCACCAGATCAAAGAATCAGATCGGCTCGTCGTGTTTCTTCACCGCTCGTTGGCTCGTTGTTTCTTCACGCCCAGATCTCTCACTCCTCGGGTTGCTTATTGGGTCGCTTGGGTCAGAGGTTTCTGGCACCTTCGGTCGCAGCTTGGGCTTCCGAGGTTGTTGGGGGCACCGATATAACAGAAGGCATGGACAGGATGCTAGATATATTCTTAGCCATTTCTTGCCAACTGTCTACGCGAAAAGGGCCTAGTGTTGGATGTATCCAAGTCTGTTGGAGGCTTCCGGAAGTGGATGGACCGTTCTTTTTACTTCCAGTTCGATCATGACAGAATGCCAGAAACAATTCCAGAAACACGGACATTCATAGAGAGGTAGCCAGTGCCCGTAAATAGGACCTTACTGGGGAACCTTGGGATAGGCTAGGGATAGGGTCCTGACCCACCTCTGTTGGTAGGTCATTCAGGTTCTTTCCTTTTGGATCGCCAGGCTGCAGTGCTCGGGAACTCCTTGCAAGCCTTTGTACAGAGGACGGTGAAACCGGTCCTCGCGGTGAAACCGGCGCGGCACGGTGAAACCCGTGGTGAAACCGGCGGAGCACGGTGGCGGCGGTTTGTCGTTTCAGAACGGGGCGGCGGTTTGGTCGCAATTTCTGATACCACTTCCAAGTTGGTTTGCTTGATCTACTTTGAGCAGCATGGAAGTGATGTCTTTTTGAGGGTTGGAAGCTTATTCTTCTCCTCACCTGTGAGAGTTGAGATGCGACATGTACCAATTTGCCTCCAAAATGTGCCAGAGGACTCATCATCCACAAGTTCATGACAGGATGCTGGTGATTCCCAATTCTATGACCTACATACCTTATATGATCTTATATATTCTTATTTATATATTATCATATAATATACACAGTATATATCTAAATATATAAGGTCATGTGACCTACATTGCATGGAGTGGAACTGACAGAATCATTTAACTTCACCCTTGTACGGCCTTGTTTCAACCAACGGTGCTTTTTTTTTCCAGAGGCTGTCGACGGGAGGCCGTCCAACTTCCGGGTTCTTTCGCGCGGGAACCGTTTTCGCGGGAACAGTGGTTTGGAAAGGCTGGGTATTTTGTGGCTATTTTTGCGTGCGGTTGGTTTTTTGTGCAAGTGGTGGCAGTGGTTCTTGCCTTTTCCCTGAGGTATGAAAGGCTTAGTGAAGTGATTTTGGTCCCTGTCCAACCCGGAGACTGTGTCTGAGGAGTAGTCCGATGGCTCAAATCAATCAATGTGGTGTAGATGGTCACCGCAGGGCAGAATGTGTGTTTAACTGTTGTGAGATCGTTTACCGCAGTCCTTCCTAAGTTGCCGAAGCGAGCGGGCTGTCCTTACGGCGGCATGAATCATGAGGCATATATGTATGTCATATACATAATATGCAGTTCTTAGTCTTTGTGATTGTCCCTGGGTGAGCTGGAGTGCAAACCAAACATTCCCTAGCAGAGCCCCAGCTCTTCACTGCTTGGATATCTGACTGTGCAGTCAGGAGGGCCAGCCACAGAAGACGAGAACCTTGGCCCGGCTGTGTCAGGCACACCCTGCTCCTTGCACTTTGGTTCGTATCAGAATGCCTGGAATCGAAGCATCGCTGGTTGTGCTGATCTTGAGGTTGGATCGGTTGGATCAATTGGTTTTATGGCAGTACACCGAAAAACCCGATTCTCAACCCATTCAGTCAACATGACCCAAATGGAATCCAGGTTCTATTCCTAGAAAGTCCAGCTTGGACGTGTTGAGCAGAAACATATTCCAAAAAGTACTGTATAGGTATCCCTAGATAGCTCTTCCTTCCCATGCTTGCTTGGTGGACGCCACGAAATGAAAAAAGATACCAGTCGATCGATCGGTTCCAGAGAAAAGGCGGAGCGAAAGAAGCGAAGAAATCTGAAGATCTGAAGATATCAACATGCTGCAGGTCGAAACCAACCCAGTGGTTTTGGGGTTCCATGTTAATCTATTAATCTGCAGGGGAAGTATATATACTTGTACAAAAAGGGGATGGGTGCCATGTTAACAGCTCGTTCTGCTTGCAGGGTGACTGGTGGCACTTTCCCCAGCGACGCCGAACGTGAAGACATGGGATGTCCAAAGAGATGTCCAAAGTAAAGACACGGAACTTCCCACGAGATCCACCATGGTTAATGACTCAGAATGCTCCAACGGTAAGACGTATGGATCTGACACGGTGTTTCGATGTGTTTCGGTGGTCAGGCTGCTCCAGACTCCTCCTCTCCTGCTTGATCTAACGAAAACTGCAGGTATGCCACCTGAACGAGCTTTAAGCCTTATTGTGCTGGTGGTCTTCCCTCTCGCCTGCCAGAAGAGTTCCTTGCCACAGTTCTGCAGTGGAGTTGTGAAGAGGTCCAGCTTCCGCTGGGCGGTGGCTGGTGGTGCCTGAGAGCGTGATGAATTCAATCCATGATTCTTGATGATCGTAAGGGACAGAAAAAGGAAGCCACCAAGATGTCGACTTAAGATTTATGATAAATGTAGGAGGACTTAAATGTTCTTTTCTTCTCTCTTTTTCAGGCCGGAAGTAATATGTCGACCGTAAGACATGGTCCCATTGGGCCGGGCTCTTGCCGGTGTTGTCACCTGTACCGGTGTTGTCACCTGCGTCGCCATCCGGTTGCGGCGGTGACGGTGACGGCGGTGACCTTCGGCACCAGTCAAGTGGGAGCACGGCGAGAAGGGAAGAATAATCCACATGGATGAGATTTGATGAGATTTGTTATGTGATCTGAGTCTTTGCTTTCACAGTTCATCCGCATCAGTTGTCCGTTTCGCGGTCCCAACCTGTAACCTGTCCCGACAGATTCGCGGTCCAAGCGTGCAGGAATGATATGTTCGTTACATCCTTCGCTTCATGAACATGCAAAAAACAAAAAGCCCTTTAGATTCATTTCGGAATAGAACAGTCCTTGTGGATGTGCATATCCAACGAAAGTCGAGCGGGGACAAGAGAATGAAATTAAGCCAGACTAGAGGTGTATCAACTCATTCTGTTTTGTTGTATATCCGAGGAGGATGAACTATTGCAATGTAACATTGAGAATCATTGAGATTTGAGGGAAGTGACCTCCAATTTGTGGTGGGATCTAGAGTCCACACTGGCAGATGATAGAGAGGTCTCCGATTTTCCGCACCCTTGGCCGGTCACTGGCCGTGCACCGGCCGCGGAGAAGACGCGGTGAACCATCCGGTTTGGTCCGAGGTCTTCACTCCTTGACCAGCATCTCCATGATCAGCTTTGCCGCTTTCGATCTCGAAACTGCGTTCGCGGGGGAGTGGTCGTGGCGGTCTGCCACGAAGAGGCTATCATGCTATATGGTAAGTCATGGTAAGTCTATACTGGAGTTGATGGAGTTGCTCAAACAATCGCTTGGTCGACCAAAACCGCCGGGTTGGATCTGGGGCCTATGGAGACCAGGACACCGTGGGTCCCACCGTGGTCGTGGGCTTCGGTTTCGCCGCTTGTAGCACGCCTTTCGCGCGGAGAATTGAGGCCTCTGAGGCGAGGAAGTCGATTGACGCCTTAAACCCAACACCCTGAGCTGCATGGTTCGAGGATATGAAGATAGTACCAGGTCTAGTGTATCCGCCCAGCCAACCTGTTAACTGTTGGCTGAGGGGTGTTCTCTCAGGATGAACCTCAAAATGATCCAAAATCAAATTCAAAGGAAAATGGGACCAGACCACGCAACCACAGGCATATATTATATATATATTATATATTATATCATATTTGGTTTCACATGTTGGACCTTAATTACAGCCCGTTGTGGCCCCCGAGAAGAACGGGCTTCCATCCCGAGCTCGTCTCAGGTTTGCTTGGCCTACTTCTTCGGGGTTCTACTCGTGAGACTGGCCCACCGAGCCCCCAGACGGAACGACGGAGGTTTCGGCGGAGCCGTGGTGGTTCGGACGGACCGTGGCTGGGACCGTGGCTGGGTATCTCGGAGTCCGGTTGAAGAGTGAATACAGGTGATACATTCATCACCACTCTTTGTGATACATTCTCCTACTAAGCATCACATTCTCCTGTCGGGGGTGCAAGATGGATGCACCCCAAAACTGAAGGCTGGAAGCTGTCAGTTCGACCCAAGCCCCTGGCCGCCTTCAAAGACCATTCAAAAATCATTGACCTGGTTTTGTAGCGTAAAACCCGAAAACCCTTAGTATTTCTTCAAAACAAAAGGCTAATGAATCAATGGTGTTGCGAATCCTAGCGATAACTGTCCGGCCAAGGCAATGAGCGCTCCTCTTGAGTTCATTGACATGGGCCAGGAGGAGCAAGACCTTCGCGGACGCACGGAGTACGCCAGCGACGTCACCTTGTGTGCTTGTAAGTAATGTAGAGAATTCCATCATGCGGGAGGACTTCCCAGTGAAGTTTACCTTTGCGTGCCAGGACATGCCACTGTTTTGGCAGGGCCCACCAGTGCTACTGATGTCCTTCCTTTGCCACACCACGATGCTGCAGGTGGGGTGGGGCATTCTCCATGTGAGTTGGCTTCTTTCAACAGTTTGTTGGACCATTCCCTGCGACACTTCACGATTTGCTCAAGTAAGTCCATGGGTCAAGTCAGCTGACTAGCTCTCTCAATCGGTTGACGTAAATGTATATGTATGCGCCGGATGGTCCCCGGATATTTTGTCGGGAGTTTTTTCCCATTCAGCCAACTACGGCCTTTTATTGCTCAAACTCTTGGAAATCCCAGCGAACCCCACAGCTCTTCTGGGCGACGGATCAGCGCTTCACGTTTCGTAGACGACATCACCTGGTCTGGGTGCGTGACTTACCCGGCTCTGCGGTGGCGTGGCGGCCTCACTCGCTCAATCTCACCTCTTCCCTATCTTTTTTGGAGCTCAGCTCGCTTGATTTGACACACCTCGTTCCTTTCTTCAAATCCGTTTCGGCGCACCTTGTCACGACGTGGTGCGGCTGACCTCGTCCGAAGTCCCTCCAAACGTGCGCGAACTCCGCGAACCAACGCGGCGACTGGGAGACGAGTTGACAGCATTGGTTCAACTACTACAATTGTAATGGCCTCCAACCTACTAGCGATGGCCTCCAGCCTAGTAGCTTCTTTGGAGGATCGGCTTTTTGTGAGGAAGATGGAAGATGATTGCCCCTTTTAGGAGGGTTCCTCCTAGCTGCCAGGGATCGGTCGTTTTGTAGCAGCATCTAATGCTGCTAGCAGTGCTTTCCATCACATCGCTCCTTTGCTCAGTTGGATGCAGAACTTTGCACAGAGGCCAAAGCAAAGGCGGGGATGGGAGATAGATGCAGATAGACGAAGGCACAATGAAGGAGGGGTCCCAAAAAAAATAAACAAGGCCATGGAAAGTTGTGCAACATGGTTTAACTATGGGGTATCTGTGTATATCCATGAAAACTCTCGTCGGCAAAGGAACAAAAGAGTATACTTTGTTGTTCCTTTGCCCATGAACACTCATGGATATATTTACACAGATCCCCCAGATCATCCCCAGGAGGATGGTGGAACGAACCACGGGACCTCAGGACCTGGTGTTCGAGTGTTCGTCGTGACAGAGGATGAAACATGCGGTAGTTCGGCTATGTCTATTCGAGTGTTCGGTATTTCACCATATTTTCGGGCGGTTCATGTTTGGTATTTAGGGATAGTTCGGGCTCCTCGGTCTGACCGAGACATATTGGGGCCCTGAAACAGGTGGTCCAGATAAGACATGGTCTTGGGTGCCTTCGATGGAGATGACTTGGGTCACTCTGCCCATGGAGGGTCTCATTGAAGTAGCCTTGGAAGTGGGACTACAAGTTCAAACAGGATATACAATATGATGTACGGAAATCAATGGTTCAATTTTTTTCAGGTTTTACAACATGTCGTTCTATATTCTATTGTTGATCTTCAGGAGAGCATTCAAAACGAAGGACACCAGGGGTGGCGTCTCCCTCTCCGCGCACAAAGATTGGGGCGTTTTTGGCCGCTTGGGGCGGGTCTACGTATACATCGAGAGCCTTCACTGTGAGCTGATCGAACCAAAACACGTTCTTTTTGGTTAGCTGACAATCCCAGACGCTCCATGGGACTAGCATATTTACATACATAGGGGTGGTTTGGGGGGTCAATGTAAGCATATATGGCAGTGCCTGGAGTGTCTGACAATTCTTAGATTGTATGTTTACACAATTCCACAGCTGCTGCACCAACTGGTTCAAGGACTCGATTCGATCTGGTGGTGCCATGACGCTAGAGAGACACCAGAGTATAGACTAAAGTCTAGACATACCACTCACAATGTTCGAGGATGGGATACTTACAACCATGGACCATAATTCACCCGCTTGATGGTTTCCTGCGACCTTCTTGAATTCTTGAGAGCAGCAACACAAGGCTTGTCCCTTTGGCTCATGAGCCCCAGATCTTCATGAACCAGTTGGTACACAGCTGGACCCCCTTGCTGGACCTCTGTCTCTCTTCTAAAACAGTGTAAAAATGCCTTCGCACCTGATCGTCAACGCGGAAAAAGAAAAACCAACAAAACGCTCTCCTCAGGTCTCTTCGGTGATCCGCCTCGTGGTGCTGGGCCTGGCTCTGCCGGTCTACGCCACCGTGGGCGCCGGAGGCTTCTGGTTGAAGGGGCCCAAGGTCTCAGCGAACGTGCTGCAGGCGGGGGGGGGCCGTGCGCTGGCTGGCACCGCCGCGGTGTTTGCGGAAAAAACCAAGCAGCTCACTTACAGTGGTTTCAGAGTAATTAGATGGCACTGGCACCCCAAGATGTCTTTTAGATGGGGATCCATATAAACCACCTTTTGGTGATTGTGCCATCTACTCTCAATCCACTGTAAGAAATTAGATCGGTATTTTGTTGGCCAAGACTGACTACTGAGTGACTAGAGTATAGGTTAATGGATGGTCACTCTCTTTTGCATCAGTCAGGAATACATCTGAGAGGTGTTATATACTCAGCCTGGGGATGAAGCCTTAACACCCTCAGACTATGTACCCATAGATTTTGTCCATTGCAGTCACAAAGACTTAAGACTTGACCAATACCAATTGAGTATGAAGCATTGGCCATTCAAAACTCAGCTTGTTGTACTGGTAGAGCCGTTTTCGACATTTGCCTCATTTTCGGAACTGCACCGGCCACAAGAACCCTAGGGCCCACGTCGCGGATGCGTGTGTTGCGGATCCTCCCTGGCGTGCCGTCGTTTCCTCCGGTCGTGCGTCGTTTTTGCGTGTTGGTGTCGTCTCCTCCACACACGTTTGTTTTGCTTTGGGAGTGTTCCACTTCTCTATCTTTTTGTGCCAACTATAACTACCAGGACCCTCCAACAGGTCTCCGAAATGGTAACTTTTGCAGACTTCAAAGTCGCAGGTGGTGACCTGTGAAGTCGGGTGCTGGTATAGATGACACGAACCAATAAGGGCGGCCACCCACCTGGGCCATCTGGGCCGACCTCGACTTCGCCGAAAACGTCCCTCGCGCCATGTCCAGGACTTCACCCAAGACCCCTGGATGGCAGCAGCCCGCCTCACCTTGGGTGTCATGCCCCTCGGCCACGGCGATGCCACGGTGATGTGGTGGTGAGGTCGGGGAGTTGATTGGAAAGATACCATCTTGGTGGGAGGAGGTGATTGGTGTTTTTGTTGTTATTTCCCCTGTGGAGTTGGAGAATTTTGTGCCGCGCCAGGTTGAAGGTCCTGATGTTTTCTTGTTCCCTGTGACTACTAGTGACTCTTTTTAGGAAACACATGGTCCATGGTGTGCTGATACATTTGTTGTCCATTTGGGATTCTATTGGGAATTGTACCTTAAGCACATCTTGAGGGCATTTCCGGGTGCCCCGCGGGCACGGCACGTGCAGCAGCACCTCGAACGGACCCCCAGGAACGTGGCCAAGCTGGCCACCGCGGTGATCACGCTGCGGGAGGCGCAGCTGGACGATGGAGATGAAGGAGTGTGGTAAGACAGGAATGGAAGGAGGGCCAACCATGAGAGAACCACCTTTGGGCAACGACTCGTCCTTTTTAGGAAGACCAGAAGCAAAACAACATTTTGGAGACGAAGGACAGGTTCCCCCAAACACCCTGGAACACTTCGGAAGCCATGAAGTTCCTCCCCAAAGTGTTGCACTCACTCACTCATTCACTCCGCTTCACTCCGCCACCACCGCAGTCCTTGGTTTCCTTGGCGCCTTCACGTTTGTGGCGCAAGCGCCTTCGGAGCTGGCACGGCCGAGCCGCCTTGAGCCTGGCGACGCTGGTGCTGGGCGCGGTGGCGGCCTTTGCCACTTCGGAGTTCACGGACGGGGCCGTGGGACACGGCGTGACCGTCGCGTGACCGGTTTTCGTTCTGAGTTCGAATGGAAGACGTAGCGCAAGTCGTCCAACAACGGCCGTTCCAGCCGACCGTCGGACGCGGAAGAGACGAGGCCGGCTCCGATGGAGCGGAACGGGGGTCCGCGCCTGCGGCTGAGGCGATCCCTTCGCTCACCACGGTGCTTTCGCTCTTGGGCTCCACCGTGGGAGTTCTTTTCAGCCGCTTGGTGGGCTGGATGTTGGAATGGGTGGCGATTTGGAGGTGCACTATACTGTAGGCATTGTAATGATACTAATGATATCCAAGGAAGTCACCTTGGTGATCCTTGGTGGCTCACAACATCTCACAACCAAACTAATTTATGCGTGGGACTTGGTGTATGGACAGCGCCATCAGAGATGTATGGGCTTGAATCTCATTTCCGGTTCTTTAGGAGCCCTTTCTGTGTCCCTTGTCTCGCGGTTGAGGATTCTTGAGACTAACTGACTAACTGTATCCTTCCCCAAGTAAGGGAGGGGCTCTCAAGCGCACCCCCATTTCTGCTCAGATGTTGTCACACCTCACCTTGATGAGGTCTTTGTTTGCCTGCGGCTCTCTATGCCATGCTGTCGGGGTCTCGTTGTGGATTGGCGTTCCGAGCTTGGATGTCGCGGAAGGATGGCAGTGTCAGTAACACAACCAGTAACACATAGTAACACGTTTGACAAGAGTTCAACACAACTGGAGGGAGAGAGCCGTGGGTATCTGCAGTTGATCATGGTTTCATCATCACTGTCCATAGTCTCCGAGGCTCCATTCATACTCCATGGAGTGTAAATAGCACCCAGAAGTTGACAGGGACTGACGGGAAGATGTACATTGACCCCATCAGAACCTTCCCCGTTGGCAACAGGGAAAACACAAAAATCCGCTGAACGGACCGTCCAAGATCTGCAGAACAAGGTAATTGGGCGGTCAGCTGAGGAGAAGTGGCCAACTGGCTCAAAATGGGCCAACTACTTCCCCTTTGCCCTTTGTCCATTGGCAAGCTCAAACCTGATAAAATTGAAAGAAGATACCAACCTGTAGCCTATTAGCACTGGTACCAGTACTGGCATAAAAAGTCGTTCTTTCTGTGAACCGTCTTTGGGGGCCAGCCGTATTTGGATCACGGGCCATGTGTTCAAAACCTTGCAGCTCCGTGGGAGGCTGCGACGCGTCTCCAGTTTCAAGTGCAAAAGGCCAGTTTTTTCTCCGTCGCTTCGGTTCGTAGTCGTGTTTGGTGGGGAAAGACTTGAGTGCAGCTGCATTTCTAATCTAGGATGAACCGAAGCATCTAGTGCATGCACGTGAAATATAACTGATAGGTGGGATTGACGGCCATTGCAGGTGATTAGTTTAGGCAAGGACTGGGTCTATAGTCTATATAGGGAAGGTACTTTACTAGTCCGGACGATGCAATATTGAAGGCACAGTTTCAGGCTGATTCAATTTGGTGAACATCCATTTTGGGTTGATTTAGAGACACCTGTAGTCCAATCTTCAGAGGCCCACTCTTACATAATTCCCTATAATGTCGACACCGGATTAATCAACCCTCCCCCCCCACCCTTCAAGGTCAACAAGGTCAACAAGGTTTGGGCCTCCAGCTGGGCTTGATTAATAGAGGGGGGTTCCTTAATCCTGTGTTGACATTAGCTAATATGTAGATGCCCCCAGCAAGCGACGTCAGCGACCCAATTCGCTGAGCCTCTCTGGTGCTTCCGCTTCCGCTCGGGCCGATCGGGCCGAAGACGCGTCGTCTGAGTCAATCCTCGACGCGCAGGGACGACTTGGAAGAACCTTTGCTACCTTCGACGCCGGGACGAGCGGAAAGCTGGGCAGAGGGCTCCATCCAAGTTCCTCGCAGTGACATGGAATGGCTGCGACAATGGCTCCTCGGACGGAAGTTGGAGCAGCCAAACTTCGGGACTCCACGAGTGGACGAAGTGGACGTCGTTGGAGTTTCGGGGGAAAACAGTAGGGAGAGTGTAGCTACAAATGGACCAGGTGATATCTGGACCAGGTCGTACAGAGCAAGAAGTGAACGAATCCCCTCAATGTTGAAGTCATCCCAGTTCTGCTCCAAGCGAGCCACTCAGGCCACTCTGCCAGGCAAACGACATGGTGTGCTTCTTCATGTCAAGTCCACCGATCCCGCTCGTCCACCGATCCGCTGACCAGGTGTCGGACCGGGTCCCGGACAGCTGACAGCTGTTATGATAGGGATGGAGACGAAGTCCCGGTCACTGACTGATATATAGGCTTTACATATATTAATATATAACTTATAGCTTATATATAATTTATATATATAATAGGCTCAGTCGGTTTCTTTGAGGCTTTCCAGAAAAGGGGAGCCTGGCCCAAGGGATGAAACATGACGCCCCCAATGTTCTCCTCGACGTCAAATCCATCGATGGGGCCAAGCTGGGATCTGTTGAAGCGGGAGATGGCTGGGACAAAATGTGCTCCTGGGACAGCTCGGGTCACCAAAATCTTTTCGACAGCTCTTGCCGATCCCGTGGCGAAGTAATCAGTTGTAAACTAAGTCAAGTGCACCAAGCTCAGCTGACTGTGAGTCTAACATGTGGACATGTGGGTCGTAAACGTACCCCGGACCTCCAAATAGTCTTTTTGTGAGAAGGTGTTTGAGGTGTGTTTGGAGGGACAGAAGTCCTTCTGAGGTGTTTGGAGCCGTAGGGGTGTGCACAACAATGCCAACAAGCTTCATTCATTTCGGCCACGTCCCCGTCCCCAAGGCTTCTGTGTGGCGTGGTTTTCACCGGTGGCCTCTTCGTAGGAGGCCGGAACTAGCGGGAGCGGTGATGACACGAGCTTTCCCAGCAGGTTGGGAGTGTGGTCCCTCGCCCGCCGCAATATCCACATGGGACACTAAAAACACCGACAAATATCGGACAAATGCACATAAGGAGATGGAATTTCAATTTGTGGTTCTGTGCTGAAAGCAGGAACATTGAAGACTCCTCATCCCCACATGACCACGAACGTCAGGTGCGAAATACGACGAATTTATTGTAGCACACATGTTGGTTGATTCTTCGGTCGGCTCTTGCAGGATTTGAATTGACATACAGATGTTTACATCAACTATTTTGCAGTCCTATTTTGACGAACAGTCTACACTAAAAGTATAGATGCAGGATTCCCCTGTATAACCTTATGCACCTACTCGGACCTACTCAGTACCTGCTCATTTCCCTCCAGGCTTAGGGCTTCTGTCCTGGGCCCGAGACCCTTAACCGCAACAGCGGAGTGAGAAAAGTGCGGCAGGGAGCGAGAGGAACGGCTTTGCGGTTGCAGGTTTCAGAAGTTCAGGATTTGGGCTAGACCATGCTAGATCTCAAGATGAGACCGCTTGGCTTTTGGCTGAAAGCGGTGTTTAGCCTGACAAAGTTGTTTTTTGGCCTCACATCCCGAGCTGGTGGGAATCCATGTGAACATGTGAAATCATAGCTGTTCTCCGTGCCGTGTCCAAGAGGACACATTGGTCTGTTTGAAAATTGCCGTTGGAAGAGCTGTTCTTCTACCCATCGAAGAAGAACCTCTTACGTTTTAAAACCAACCCGTGTGTCGATCGTTGCAGAAAAGAATGAAAAAACTGGCCACTACACCACACCACAGTATCGTTCTCATCCCAAGATCAGCTGCTATTAATATATCATATGTGCAGGTGTCTCAAAATGGATTCACCAACCAATCGTTTTTTTCTTTTAGGTATTTTGAGGTGTCCATCACTCTTGGGCAGACCCACCTTGGATGCCAGAAGCAACTCTGTTTGGAGTTGTCCCATCTTCGAGGACTCCAACAACTCAGGGGCGGTCCCAACCCTCGCGAAGCTACGTATATACAGCTGTACATGCGTGTGAAAGTCCAAGTTCCAATCGATACGGTATGTCAGGCACATCCGGTTTCAAGGTGATGCTTCAGCCATTTCGCTCAGCCGTGCTGATCGCTTCGGCCGCTGGTGGCCTTTTGGGCTGCCGTGGGGCGGTAGTAGTTGGACGGCAGCTGCTGGCAGGTGGGCCTTTTCGGGGAGGAGCATGGGAGTCCAATGTAGACACTTGATCCATAAAACCCGGCTTCAAACACCCTGACAGGAAGAAACTATAGGTCCTATAGGCTTGTGCTTCTCCTTAAGGAGAATGAGTTGGAACACATCTTTATGGGGCACTGCAAACAGTTGCTGGGGCACAGTAGTCAACAGCCTGGTTCCCGCTGAGTAGATGTTTTCGAACCTAGTTTTTACAATCTCCTTCATTGCGAGTTTTGCCTCATAGCCACGCTAGCCATGGCTCGGAATGTATATGTCCAAACCTAGACCCCCGAAATTGCTTCCGCAAGTGTCCTGTTTTAACTTCATGTACTAGGTACTTAAGTCGACTCAGCTTGTGTACAGTCGACTCGAAACCGTGTGCCCTTGCAGAACTGCACTCCGCAGGGATGTCTAAGCGTAGATTGTATTGATCTATAACATTCTATAACACATGTTTGTGTTGTGCCCATGGTGTGCCTGATTGTCACTTGTTTGTATTTATGAATCTGTTCTTTGGGGGAGGGCACCTTCCACAGGGGTGAAGGGTCAAGGATTTGTGACAGTCTTGATGCAGAGCTCCTTGGGCCCACGCTCCACTGCTGCTGCTGCTGCTTCTGGTTGGCTGCTGCTGCTCCTGCTGCTTCTGTTTTGGTTGACCGTAGGAAGGATGTAGGACACATGCCATTGAGATTTGGGCTTGACACATCTAGAAAGCACGGCCAAGTGCCTGCCATAACACAGTGTGCGCACACTTTTCCTTGAACATATCATTTTCCTGCCGTGCTCATTTTTCAAGTGTGCCCAGTGTGCTTTGACCAAAGTGAGTCGACTTCACGCGAGCGGGTTGACTTCTCGCTGAAACCTTGTGCCCATGCAGTGAGTTGACTTCACGCGACGTGGGTTGACTGAAGTACGCCGCTTGTACGCTCTATGCCCCAAAAGCTGCGTGTTCATTGAGGTTCTTAGCTCTTGATCTTTCTATTGCGGCCTCTACTCCGACCTGATGTCTAAGACCTCCTACTCTACTTGGTCGTAGTCCTGGACTCCAGGACGACGTGCCTCGATCAGTATGATCCAGGTCACAAACCAGGTGGAGAAGTAAATAGAAGTAATTGCCAGGTGAATCACCAGGTGGATGATATAGTTTTCCCAATAACCAGGTGGACAAGTAACAAGTCGGTGACTGCAAAGAAAGGTCGTTCACTCACTCTTTTGCAACGTCATCCCACGGTGATGACGCTGCCGGCAGAATTTGCCCTTGCTGTGTCGGTTGTTTTGGTCCGACAAACCCTTTTTGTACCCCAACGTGCGGTGGAGGGGAAGGAGGGGGAGATTTTGGATCGCGCAAGCAAGGGTTGCCCCAAAACCACGGGCAATTGACATCGCAGTCTGCGTACGTGTTAATGTCAACCAGGGGTCCCCCATACCGTATACCCAAATGGGCAGTGTGTCCAAACCTGCAGCCCAATTCCTGGTAGGTTGACCCTGTTCAGCCTTCATGCGGTCAACCCGCATGCCTTCATGCGTGTCATACCAACACTAATACCCTTTCCATCCCCCGTTCGGGGGCTGCTGGGCGCCGTGTGTCCACGCAAGTCCCGCGGACTGGTCAACCAGGGTCCCCCTGTCTTGACCCGCCAAAGATCAGCGCCTTTTTTTGGACCGCGGACGCCTGCACGGCCATCACCAGACTGCGCAGGTGCGGTGCCGTCACGCGATGACGACGGCGACCGAGCGTATCAAAAACCTGGAGCCTCGTCGATGGAGCCAATGGTGGGGCGTCAAAGTTCTTTTTTGTTGGTGTACACTGCGCCTCACTAACATGGAAGTGGACACCCCCCTGCTTGAAAGTAGTCTTCCAAGGGATCATTTTCCATTTCGATGTTAGGGAGTTGGAGTGTAGACCAATGTTTTTCGGCCCAAAAGGTCTTCGTATTCCGGTTCCCCAAGGTCGAGACTGGGCCACTGCAGCTTCCTCGTATCAGACCTCGTATCCTGGGGATGAACCCTCGCGGAGTGAGATCCCAGTTCTGGCCCCTCCCTTTGTTCGCATCACTGACACTTTTGTGCGTGCGAAGAAGATGGAAGGAACCATTGATAAAGAAGGAAAACACTGGCTCTTGACATTCAAACTTTTGTCGCAGATTCTTGCCTTATTGATTCTTGATGATCTTGATGTGGTGTGCGACAACGTTGTCCACTGGGTGGTTTCGGACCGCCGCCTACCAACTACAGATGTGAATTGGACAAGCTCTATGGTTGGGCTGCCCCCCTGGTTCATAACCAGTTTCATCACCATGCCAACACGTACACCTCTCCTGTTGATCCGTGACTCATCATATTCACCGAACCTGTTCGGACTGCAACTCCTCGGTGTGACTCAGGACTGCAACTCCTCGGTGTGGGTGACCAAGGATCAACGAGAAGCAGGTGTCGCGACCCGCGACCCGCGACCCGGAGCGATCCGGAGCGATCCGGACGTGTCAAAGGATGCGCTGTTCAGAGTGCCAGCGGAGGTTTGGTTTCTCTCCCCACATTGGATGTCATAGTATAGGATCATCCAGCAGGCGCTATTTCGGTGCAAGAGGACTAGGAGGTCTTCCCTATGTTTTGTGGGGTTGTTTCCCTTCCCTTCTACTGATTGTTGTCTCCTTTCTGCGCAGCACAATAGTCCCCTAAGTGATCGGGAATCCAAGAGCATCCACAAACTGATCAAGCTGTTTAGGATTGAGGTCTACTCTGCCATACCGGTTCCCAACACCCCATGACAGATGTTTACTTCCAGCCGCAGACTCCGCTCGAGCAGCATGCTGGGATGCCGCCCAACGGTCTGTCGCGGACGAGCGTGTGACCGACGCATTTGCGAGTGCCGGACCGAACGAGGACCCGGGGGGTGGCCACACGAGCGGGACTGGGTTCGAAGCGTGGTGGGAAACATGTGGTTCGATATTTGGACGGCCTGGCGCCGGTGTTTTGGCCTTTTTTTTTTGCAGTCTCTTGTGGAAGCCATCACTCACCGGTGCAGGTCTCAAGTACCTGGTAGAGAAACATGCCAGGCGGGCTGGCCTGTCAGTCGGTGGGCTTGGTTGTTTGGTCTATTATATAACAGTTTCCATAGGTACAGAACACAAGGTGCCGTTGTTGCATGTCATGTGGTGTATATATGAAGCTATGAAGAAGCATTCTTTGAACCCAAAGTGTGTGTCAGCAGTGGGTATACGAAGTGGGTTCCTGTGCTTGCTAGGTCACTAGTTGGAGACGAGCTCCGGTTGTCTTAGAGGGTATGACTTCAGCTTGAACCAAATTGTCTTGAAATACCTTGCCCCGCACTACATGAAAAATGACTTGCCTCTCCCACGTGATGACTACTTTCCTGGACAAAAGGGATTATGTGTTCCGTGCTTTCCAATGTCTTGATAATGGTAGGCAGTTGGTAGGGTACAATGTTGCTGCCCCTCTTTGCGGATGGAAGAAACATCCTGCACCACCTGTTGATGAACCAGTTCGCCATTCGTGTTGAATCCAACTAATTCCATCCAACTGCCTCCCATCAGCAGCGAAAATGAATCCATAGCCACGTGTTTGTTACAATCAAAAATCATATTGAACATCGTGGACTATTTGCTTGATCCCCTTGTTTGTGTACATGTACGGCACGCACATATACAGTATTATATATATATGTATATATACACATGCACATATATACATATAGACTGTACTGTATATACAGTATATATATATATAAATATTTGTGACACCATTCCCCCATGGCTTCACTTCATTCAAAACCGGAACCCACCGGCGGAACCCACCAGACCGGTGAAACTCGGCCATCACTGCCTCTGCGCTAGGCAAGGTGCGGCCATCACCGCCCGGACTCTCTCCGGTCTCATGGCCAACGGAGAGGAGGAGGCCAAACGAGCCTCGGAGAGGTGGAAAGCGAACGAAGCGCATCGGTTTTTGCCAACATGCTGATCCTGCGCCTAGAACGCCAAGACGCTGTAGAGTGCACAAAGGAAAAGCAGGTTGCGTCTTTTGACAGAGTTTCATTATTTTTTGTCCCTAGCAGCTGGTTGCTGTTGACCCTTTACACATTGCGTATCATTGCGTCCTTTGCTTTGCCAGTACTGGCTTGTATTGTAGACTGGAACCTGGTGATCCTGTGCCCGTTCATCCCCCAAATCTCTGATATATGATGGTATGCTACTTCTCATGTGGGTCACTCCAACCAGTGAATTCTTTCTCTAATCTAGCCAGACAGGGGATGACGTAAAGGATTCTGAGTTGATGTCGTGGTTGAGCTGTTTATGTTGAGCGTTGCAATCACTCGATCATTGTCTGTGCTTGGCGGCCAACACTGAGGAGAAGAGGCCGAGAAGTCTCAGTTTCTCGCAGCACTTGAATATGGGTGAGTTTGCCGAAGAAGTAAACACGAGAAGCATAGCCATGAGCGGTGCTTCTCAATTCATTGTTAATGTCGATTGCTGGGCAGTTGCTCCTTTTGAGATGTTGCTTTGGCTGGTTTAAATTTAAGAAGAATCAGCAAAACACCCCTGCCGCATGTCTTGCTCTCACTGGTCTAGTAGTAACAAGAAGCTAGTAGAAACAAGTGCATCGCTACTAGTAACAAGTGCCTTACTAGTAGTAACAAGAAGCTAGTAGAAACAAGTGCTCTCCCGCAAATTCGTATCTCAGTCTCAAGATGCCCATTCTCATCCTGGCTTCCCTTCAATCCAACCGGTGGTCCCAGTGCTCAGTGCAGTGCGCTTCGGAGACATGAAGCGCCAACGACGCCCAAACGGTACAGATGGGAAGGAGGTCCTCTTCCTCAAGCTGTTTGGGTGTCCAATAGACTACCCTAGCCTACTTACAGGTCTCCAGACAGGGCACCCGTTGAAGTGCTAGGTATATATAATATATCGACATTAAAACCATGATACGTTCTTGTTCGGAGAAGAGCACTGGGGAAAAAAAGGATGAACAAGCGGATGAAAAAGGGGGCAATCATCAGCTAAAGCAGCTCGTTGGACAACAAACAGGTGAGACTTAAGCCGCCATCCTTTCGTTTCACGCCGCGGCGGCTGTCTCCTGTGTCGCCGGCCGAGGAAACGGCAACGGGAGGGCGAAGTGGATGAGCTTAAGGCCGAGATGGCCAAGCTCGAGGAAACGGCTGCTCGGCAGCGTTCGTTCGAACACGTGATACTATCTAAATCAATCTCATATCGTCAAACATAGCACTGCGCTTCATAAATCTAAGGCGGACATGAGGAAATTCCCGCAAGGGGACCTCACAACAACTCCTAACTTTGCTTGGAGAGGACCTCAATTTTTACCGCAAATCGACCAGAAAACGGTGTTTTTGCAAAAAAACTCCCCCTCAGTCTGGAAAGCTTGACCGATTGGCTACCGTAGATTTACCGTGCTGATATGGAAGGGCTGAATGGGCCAAGAACGGGACATGATAGAAGCACCCCACGGCAACCAAAAGTTTACCATCCACGTACCTGCCTGATGGCAGCTTTCAAGCAGCATGTGGAGACTGTAGAGCAGTGTGCAAGCCCGGCAAGCCCTGTCCAAAACACATGGCAGCCCACTGGGCTGGTTAACAGATGTGAAAAGCATGAAAAGAATAGGATGAACCCCCCTCCTGAAATGCAAATTGGTTCCTCAGCTGCTTTTGGACCGACGCGCGGTGCAAGTGCTAACGCTGCAGAGAGCGCTGAAGACGTTCAAGGAGCTACTTGGAGCTCCAGGTGGTCAAACAGACGGAGCTTGCCCTAGTTCAGTGAAGAGGAACTAGTGTCAGGCGTAGCGCTTGGAGCACTTCGAGGCACAGATGCCAGCTGGTGAACTCTGCAGTGCTCACCAAAGCCAGACATTGACCCAAATTCGTTCCCAAAAAGCATTTCAGTACGACTTTCAGTACCTGGTCGAGCGTCTGCCGTCCATCTGATCGCTTCTTCTCGCCTCCGCGACGCGACCGACCTTGAGCCGGTGCCTGGCAGCGCACGCAGAAATGGCACCAGCACGGGGACCTTCAAGCGGTCGGTCGTGCCGGTCGCCGGACCGTGCATCTGATCCACTTGGAAGTGAGGAATGGCACGGCCAGAAACTAACTAGAATAGATGCAGGTGTGTAAGGAGGTGTCTATTGAATCTATTGAAATAGGGAGATTGCCCTAGAAGTCCCTGGAAGAAGGGAAATCGACCAGAACTCATTCGTTGAGGGTCTTCCAAAAAAAATTGCACGCCCATATAGTAATAGTTGTTTGGCAGGGTCCACAATCCATGTGAGTTTTGATGTGGATGATCATGACCTTTCCAATCCACACATGGTTGTGTCACATGTGGTTCTACTGTATTTTTTCTGTGGCAAAGTCTTTGCACACGTAGCAACGCTGCTCTAATTAATAAACAACCCCAACATAGAAAAGGCTGTAACACACAATCACAACCGTGGGGTCATGACTCCTTCCTGGCTTCCTCAGATTCTACAGAACATCCCTGACCCTCTACAGAAAGACCCAGCCCCCTCAAAGCTGTTCTGAAACCTTGCTGGGAATTGCTTACTGGGACTGGAATGGATTGGACCAAAGTGTTGGGGTCACCCACGACCATCCGACCATTCCCAATAGCTTCGTGTTTATAGGTCTTTGGTCCATGACTCATATAGTGGATAACCATGAATAGCCTTGAACCTTTTTTGGGAATTGGTTTCTCCATGTTTCTCCACTCAGCAAGAGCAGCGGTGAACCTTTATTTCAGAAGGACAACTGCTCAAGAAGTTCAGAGGTCGTCAGATTTTAGGGCTTCAAACAGCTTCCGAGAAGGTCTTGGGTCCCTCCGTCCATCCACCTCAGACACCTTCTCAGAAGCTATTCCGCCCCCCGGGAGACTATACAGACGTTCTTCACACGTCGCCGTTGCCCAAGTTGAGGCGCAAGCAGCAGCGCCTAGCCGCTGGCTGGCACGACAGGCGGAGGTGAGTCGAACGCGAAGGGGGGGGCCGGTGGCATTCCATGCCAATTGCAGAGGCATTCCACCACCGGATCCACATACCCTCCGAGATGGTGATTGGAGAATATGGGAGAACTGTTCATCGGATTTTCAGAAGGGCATCCATGAATCAAGCGCAGAGAACAAGAGTTAGTTAATGAGTCAACTTCAGATTGTCTGCCTATATTATATAAACATGGTTGATTCTAGCCACACCCGTGCGTCCATCTCAGCACTTTTTGCATGAGCCCATATGGCACACATGGAAGTGAAACATGGGTGGGAAGACCATTCTACAAGCCATGTCCCACAACATAGGCTGTACCCTTGTCTCCACCGGAAGTACACAAGGCCGATCCTTTTAGTATAGGCACCATCCTCAGGGATCCACATACCCTCAGGAGGAAGGAACTTGGACCCTGGATCATCTTGGATCCCTATAGGGCATATCAAGGTGGCATGGAAGATGTTGTGGAGAGAATGCAACTCGTGTGCGCCTGGAGGCAGCAAAGGATGCCAAAGCCAAGAAGCCCATGATCGCCGGCGGCCTCAGACGTGACTACCGACGGCGACAGACGGGCGCGACGGGGGACATAGCGCTGGCCTGGCGACAGAGTGCAGGGAGTCTCCAAAAAGTCTACGGTTCAAGTCGCACCGGTTCACTCGAGTGGTGAGCCCATTGGACTCCTTGGGCTCCAGGGTCCTTCTTGGTGGATTTTGGGAGGTTTTGGGACATCCAAAGGCGTCAGTATGTTTGGTGGCACCCAACTTCAGACATGACATGCACCCAGAGAATCACTTTACCATCTCGAATTCACGCAGGAAAAAACATATTATAAAACACACCTTGCATTGGCGGAATAACGGTTTTTGCCTGGTGTACCCGGAGCTGTCCTTTTTTGCTGCGGATCTTCCCTGTGTGCTACGGATTCTCGCTTCTTTGCAGAAAAGAAGATTGGAAGATACTATAGAAGAACAAGAAACAACTCCGCCGAACATCCTCAATCTTGCTTCCTGGAAATTCTCGGGTGCTGGCCGGAATTTCATGAAATTTCTCAAACTTTGGTTGTTATTTCTGGCCCCGGAAATTCACCTTTGTCGCGGATGTTCCCCTGAGTCGTGGATCTAACCTTACAGAAAAAAACTGTCATGTCCATCAATTTGGAAGATTACAGAAATTATCAGAGTGTTGAATCGACATATTTCAAGATTGTTTCGCTGCTTTTCCTTGCTGTTTACATCAATTATCAGGTGGTCAAGAAGCCAAAGCTGCACGAAACCACGGAAGAGGTGCCGAGGGCCGTTTGGAGCAGTGGAGACACGTTTTGTGCCACACGAGGATACATCAGGTGGGACGAAAAAATTGTATTCAATCCATCGCTGACAAGACACTGGGATGTGATGAAGAATGATGAATTCTGGCCATCCACATCCAATTGATACAAATTGGAATGCATGCTTCATGCATGCTTCATTTGCTCAAAACCCCTCCCTGCCGAGTTCTGAAGACTCCTTTCAGACTGACATCGAAGTGACACCACGGCTGAATCCGCGCAGGATCCGCCGAGCTCCGCGAGCGCACCGTTGGAGTCGTCGGTGACAGAGGCGGCGCCAGAGGCGGGCCATTTCACCAGGGCCGCGAGGGGGCCGCGGGGAGGAGCCGTTTGTTTTTTTTTTCAGGTGCCCAGTGGGATGGTGGATGCTTCGCAAACCAGACCCTGATTGTTGTAAACGGGGCCGCAAAAAGCTGGTGATTGGACTGTGAAGTCTGCTGGTTGAGCTCAATTCAACCGAGTTATATATTTAGGTTTGAGGCCGGTTGAAGCAAGTGTCGATGATCGGCGCTCTTTTCGTTGAGGCCTGGAGTCGAGGGCTCAGATGCTTAGTACGGCGCTCTCGTCCATGAGCATTTTGGGGTCCAATCCTCGCTCTGGAAGATGGTAAGCGGGTTCCCTGGCCCAAGCATCGCATGCCACCACTTATTTCACTTCTTAATCGTCTTATATTTCTGTTGTTTTTTTTTTTGTGGACTAACTGATGGATCACGTTAGCCATGTAATGCCAAAGTATAGTAATGTATATATATATATATTATATATAGTCTATTTTATAACTACGACTATCACAAAGGGGAAAGGACAGACCATGACTGAGTAGATCACATAGAACAAGCAAGATCTTAAGGTTATAGTATCTCACATTATAGATCATAGGCTACTCTCTTAGTCTTGGACGGCTCCTCGCTCGCGGCTTGGGTGACTCGCGTGAGGCCGGCCTTTTGGGTGGCTACGAGAGCGAGGCGCACGCGCCAGAGCGTGAGGGGCGGGGGGTGCGCGGTGGTCGGAGAACGGTGGCATGCAGCAGAGGTGCCAAGTGTGGAAGAGGGTTCATTGGATTGGATCGGGGCAAAGCACCGAATTGATGCGTTGGGAATCCTGGAAAGATGATCGCGGCGCAGGAGGATGAAGACGAAGAAGATGACGACTGAGTCATACTGAGTCCATCGTCGACTGATTCGATGGCAGACAGCCAGTAGACAGTTGACCGGACCCTGGGGCTGCGTTGGTCGGATTCAGCACCCCGAAGGCTTCCAGGTGTGCGAGGGGCTGTGGTTCCAAACTGACATCCCTGGTCAGTCCAGTTGAAGTCGTGAAGCCTGGTACTGGTCTCTCATGGCTTTGTGATTCGCTTGATCAAATCCGCGATCGGACCATTGCAGCGGCAGAAAGGCCTGGGGTGGAACCAGTTGTACATAAGCTGATTGGCTCAAAAGGCATCAAAAGGCTCGGAAAGGAGGGACTGCCAGGTGGACCGTCCGTTTCTTCTCAGGCTGAGTAAATGTGTTGGGGTGACAGGACTGCCAGATGTTGCCATCCGTTGGGCAATCAAGACGACTTTTTCTCACACGTTGGTCTATATATAGGCCCCATAGAAAAGTAGATCCCCACTAAACATGTATTGGAGAACATTTTTCTACTGGTATTTTTTGGGGGATCGGATCACTATATCAATTGAACAATATATCCTTCAATGTCTAAAGGCCTTGAACCTGGTGCGGAGCTTGTAACCCAAAAAGGAATCACCAGCCCCCCCACACGGGTCAGGGCTCAGGGCCGTGGCCAGAATCTCAGGTAGTATCCCCAAAAAGGAAACAGCATAAACAGATCCCCCTTAACCATTTCCCCTAAAGAATGAGTGATCTTGGGTAACTTGGGCACCTTAATGTACCTTAATAATATTTACAAATCAATTTTCTGTTATAAATATCATGCAATATTAATATGACAATACTATATAACACTATATGTCCGGGAGATCACCCCCCCAAATTCTAACGGTGATACAAACACATCTCCAAGTTAGTATGTTAGATGGCTGTGGCTCGGAGCATCAATCTCAGCGACCCCACAGGTTGGATGGCCATGTCGGATGGCACTTGACTGTCCCCGAGCCATGCCATCGTCCAAATATCGAGATATGATCATATTCCATCATAGTTCATCCAGTGATGCCTCCGACACGGCCTGGCATAGCCTTGCTTAATTCATGAGATTCATGGGAAGGGGTGTACTCCCTCAAGTTCAAGTACTGCTCCGTCCAGTCAATGGAAAGCGTGGCCTTCCCCAGCGGAGTCCGAGGCGACGAGAGGTCTGATCCGGAGGGCCAAGGCGTGAGGGTGGGGGGCAAGGCACTGGGAACCATTTGTTTTTTGTTTCCCGGAAAAGACACCATTCATATCCACTAGATATGAACTGTTCAAGCATATTGCATTGCAGTATATGATGTGTATTTAAAAAAAACATGATGTATAAAAAAAAACATAGCAATTAAAACAAACATAACGATAATAATATATGTTTTATTATCATATGATATTGTACTAAAGAAATGCTTAGTGCAACTTAACAGGAATCATTGTTTAACACCCATGATGGAACCATATCCATGAGATATCCTGTTGGGTCCACCAGGTGTGAGGTTTTCAGTCCGATCCCCGGTCCGACCCCGTAGTTGAGGGTTTGCCTATTTCAAGACAGATCCATATTGTTTCAAGGGTATCCTGATACTCACATCGAAATCCATATTCTCATGGAAACAAGGCGTGCATTATTTCAGATTGCTTTCCAAATTCACTCACAACAAGGAGAATTCACTCAACTCACACTTCAGGATGGCCCGGGGGGGTCTCCGTATTCTCAATGGCACACCCGATGGGGTTGTGGAAAGCCAACACTCCAAATGGCCTGGTTGACAATGGTGAGTCCAGTCGCCGACCCGCCAATGGCAAGGAGCGAGCCTGGCTCCGACGCTGAAGGGGTTTTGGTTTGCGTCCCATTTAGATACCCTCGAACACGACCAAGATGGGACCGGCACATCTACCCCTCAGGCCAGGGGTGGTTTTTCTAAACAAGGGGGTCAATGGAGGTCGGCCCCATGGAGTGTTTGGACTATACATTAATGTTGTCTCATGTGTCAGAGAATTGAAGTTGGATGGGTGTTCGGACCTGACTCTTGTCGTCGGGGCGCCAGGTGCCTTGGAGGATCAAGTGGTCAAGTCTGGCGACTGGAGGCATGTCCCCGAAATTGATTGAGCATATATATACCTCTAACTTGAGTGACCTCAATCTATGTTGGGTTACAAACCACCCAATTGTTTTTTTCCCTATCAGAACAGGGGCTAGATGGGTTCTAGGTATATATGCATGAGCATGCATGAGCCCTAAATGGTTTTTCTTCCACATTGACTTGATTGCTGCGTTTTGAGGGTCTTAAACGAAGACATGGTCGTGGTCACCACACCTACGAGTTGTGCTGTTTTCGGCGTGAGGCGTGGGCCCATCCACCCGCTCAGAGTATCACCTTTGATATCTGATCATCAAGGGATCATTCTGGATCATTCTGGATCTAACTAGGTCAATTATATAAGTTTGAGGTTTTTCAATTGGGTCAAGGTTTCAAGATCCTGCACCACCAAAATTCCCACGCGTTTGATCGAGACCGCAAAAGGTAGCAGCAGTCGAGACAAAGCAGAAAGCTACAGAGGACAATGAAAGTTCATGTGTTCACCAAGTCATCTCTGGGTTTCAAATCATGGTCTGAAAAAATAGCGGTTCATACAACCTCACCATGTGGGATGGTAAAACCTTTTCATACATACTGGTATATATTACATAGATAGATATAGACCCCCAAATAGATAGAAACGTAGATCCCCACTAAGAATGTATTGGAAACCCTTTCTACAGGGGCTTGATCAATCAAGAGTCTACAATTAAGGGCTTCTTCGGAACAGATGGACGAACGCAGTCGGAGCTGAGCTGCTCGGGCAGATCGTGGTCGTAGGGTTTCAACAGGGTTGCAGCGTCAAAACAGGGTTACGGGACCTCTCCAGTGGACCATTTCTGGCAACCATCACACATGCCCACTTCTGGCAACCATCCCACTTTCACGTACGCTGGTGGGCGAAAGTTCACACTTCCATTATTGGCCAAGTGTTCTTGGCGACCTGGTCTTTTGTTTCTGGAAACTCTCCACGTGAACCACCAAAAAGGGGACGTCTGGAGTCTGGCGGCTCCTTCTTTCCGTACCGCGACCCCAAACCGCAGCTGTTTCGTGTCCAAGACCATCCAGCCGACGAAAACCCGTTGTCCAGCGATACGGGGAACGGTCGCCGCTCTTCGATGGCCGCTGCGGATGTCCAATGGTGTCCACTCGAGCTCCACATGGTGGGGACCGCCCGCCGTCCGTGGGGTGTTTCACCTGGGCTGCCCATCTGACCCAAACTTATGTGGGGTCTCAAATCATATGGAGTCCATATGGATCTCTTGGGGTCTCAAATCCCGGTCTTTGAGGGCCAGTCGGGCTGTTTGGAGTGTGCTCCACCGGTGGACGGGGCCCGGGAGTGTCGGGGGTCGACCAAACTCCCAAACACGCCCGGAAAGGCTGGGGGGAGTCGATTCGTACCGTTCAACGGAATGGTCGATCCGACGGGTTGTCCAGGGATAAGGGGAGCCTCCCGGTCGTCTTAGAACACCGTTTTGGACCCAAGATGTATCCTGTCGGATCGAACATGTTTGGTTTCAAACGTCGGATGTTGCAGATGTTGGTCAACTGTTGGATTCTGTTGGTCCAAATTCGACGAAGAGCCGGCAAAGCTTTCTCAGATTCTCAGAGATTTTGAGTCAATGCAATAAATTACCATCATCAACCAAGATGGTGATGTGACATGTAGCGCATGTAGGACCAAGCCTGCGATTGGGTAGGGATACGGATGAGATGAAGGTTGGGCCTCAAAACATGGCATGAATGCAGGGAACAGGACCACCATGGACCACCCTATGTCTAAGAGCCCATGAGATTAGATGGGAATGTCTCAACATACCACATCATGTTTCATCATCCCATTACTCAGGACATCGTTGTTCTCGTCTTAGCACGATCGATCACCGTCCAGCGACAGGTCTTCTGTGATCGGCCGATCGGGCGGCGCGGACCGGGCGGGCGGTGGATGCCCAGGCGGAGCACGAACTGGAGAGGACTGGATCCCAAGTCCTCAAGCAGATGAAGGCACCGGGACCGACGCGGGGTCGACCTGTGCCCAAAGAGACCGAAAACGATGATTGGCCGATGGCAAGGTGTTTTAAAAGTTGCTCATGTTGCTCCTAGGTGCCAAGCAAATTATGCAATGTCTTTGATTTACAAGTTCAAGCCCTCTGAAGTTGAAAGAACGTAGTGCAGGATATTTTTTTTTTAAAGCTACTAACAGCACCAACTCTCAAATTTATGGATACACATACATATATATATATACACACGTTACACACATATATATATATATATATCAATCTCATAGTATCTAGTATATTCTAGTATCAAACATCACAAAAAGACAAAACCTACCTTGGTTCAGTGTGGTTTGGTCGCAGGTTCAGCAGGTGCAGCACAGGCTGACACAGCTGCAAGAGCAGGTCAAGGAGCTCTTGGACTGGGCCTTAGATCTGGGATCTGTGATCAAAGGGGAGTGGCATCAAGTTATGTCCTATTCGCGTGTTGTACTTTGTTGAGGGGCTGATTCTATATATAAGAAACAGCCAGCCATTTGTCACGTGACCAAAAGTGTGTTATGTTGATCGAATGGCAATCTGGGCATAAATAAAGTTCCAAGAGCCACCTCAGTCAAGAAGGCAAAGCACGAAAGATGCGTTGTCGGAATGTCCATACAGTGAACGTATAGTGTTTGGCCAGTGTTTGGTGTGGTGTTACATTCTTGGTGTTGTTACTCGGTGTCTTTGGTGCCACATGTGAGAGTCTTCTCCGTGTCGGATTGCCCTATTTCGGCGTCCATGATCTTGGGCCTTTCTACATTGGGCCGTCCATGCAGATTATGCTGTCCCCTTAAACAACTTACGCATTTTAAAGGTTGGGCACATCATGCTCCGAAGCATTCCGAAGCCATTGGAAGAATGGTTTGTCATGATTTGTCTCTAGTAACCAGCGATTCAACATCTTGGGAATTGATCAGCCACTGTCAAGAAGTCTAAGAAGACCCCTTTGTTAGTGTTTTTTAAGTCCTGTCCAATGCAACTGCCCCAGACCCTTTTTGGCCCCTTTATCCTTTTCCGTCAGTGGAATGCAATGGCTGTCTATGCATGGTACAGTACGTTGTTGTTTGCATATTTGTTTTGCAAATTTTTGGTCTATTGCCACAAACCTTTGTGAGTTGTTCCAACGTGGTGAATATTTTCTATAGCTATGATTCATATGATTATGTACAATAAAGACCCAGTTCGTTAACTGCACCCCTTGCTCAGCACCTGCAACACGTGCCACCGTGCCACATGCAATTCACACCCACAGCACGACACCCCGAGTGCCCCCTCCGATCGCTGAGTGCGGTTACTTGGGAGCTTCTGGCAGCAAGATTCCATACGACCTTCCTTGGCTGCCGGCTCATGTTTTTTGGAGGCATTTCTGTGCTGTTCTTCAGGCCTCAGTGGAAAGCCAGCAGCGCCTCCCAAGCCTGGTGGAACAGCAGCCACTTGCTTCATCGGCCGACACGATGGGGTGGAACCGCGTTGCCCACGTTGGACTTGTTGTGGTCAGAACTGACCCGTCGCTGGGGCCCACGAAAGGGCCTCTCAGTCATGGACTGGCCTCTCGTCTCGTGGTGTTCGGCAAAGGGTTTGCCAGATCAAGAGGCCTATGCCCATGCAGTCCCCAGCATGTGGTATCATTTGGTTATTTTCATTGTGGAGACCCCCAACTAACATCAACCAATCCTAGTATGTTTTGAACTGGTCGATATCTCCGTTTCCAGCCTCAGGTGCATTCCCGATCCACACGTTTCTCAACCGAAATGTATCGAAACGTCCAGGGTCCAGGTCTTTGATTGATCATGATTGATTCCGTTTCCTTTTCTCCACTTAGATCCACTTATATAGATACCCGACATGACTCCGACGTCCAACGGTGCCACGAACCACACGCCGGCCGTCCTCAGGAAGATCGCCCGGAATCTGGGCGCCTTGGGTCGGTCGGGGACGGCATGGCGAACGGGTTTTGAATGGCATGGATGCCAAAGAGGGCCCTATTGGCCCAGAAGTACTGCAGTAGGTATGGAGAAGCTCCAATTTGGGTGCAGAGCCTTCACCCTTGATGGTATGGCACACTGATGCAACCAGTGGAGCTTGAACCCGTGTGCAGTATTTTTTTTGTTTGTTTCGGAACCGCCGAAGGGTTTGAGTCAAGGAATGTATCTCGCCTCGAACCAGATCCAACCTGAGCCAACCAGGTCTATTCAATTCTTCACGATATATCATAATGCAAATCCACGAATGGCAATCCCTCAAACGGACCATGGGTCCATAAAACATCCGAAATGTGTTTAAATGACCTCCAAACAACAACGACTTGTCACTGTCACCATTCAAAACACCAGGTCTTGGCCTTTGTGAATCAGCTGCCAAAGGGCACTCTTCATAATTATAATATATATACATGTGCATGATTGTGCATGTAATTTTGCATAACTTCAACCTTCAAACGCAGTCTTTTTCCTGAGGGTTGTTAGTCTGTTTTAAAGAGAGGTGTCGCAACTCCTGCTCTAATCCTCCTTCTCGTCTCACAACAGCAAGGACCAGATCGCAGTGGGCACTCCCAGACCTCAACAGCAAGGGCCAGACCGCAGTGCGCACTCCCGGACCTCAACAGTCAACAGCAAACACAACCACAGCTACAACCACAACCACCATGACAGCACAACACAATGATATGTATACCAGTCTGTGTGGCGTTTTCCGTGGGAGGGGGTTACAAGGTTAGAACGCGAACTCCCCAACAGTAAGGCAACACCCCCAAGCTTCAGGGCCTCCAAGCAAAATCGAGCACCCCAAAGCCCCCACCAAGGCAACATGCTCCACGCCGTGGCATGATTACAAGTGATTCAACTGGATCACTCGGAGTAAAGTAGTTGTGATTCTCTTTATCTGTAAAGTATCAACACAAATTAAAGACTCAGACTAAATACATAAAAGTACCATTAACTTTTTTATTGCTGTGTGTCATTGTCACGGAGACCAGAGTGAACACGGACCTTGCCATGTGAGCTCTCCATGCCCAGAAGTGCCCGGAATTGACAGTTTTGTGTTCTTCGCTTCGCCAATTCCACGCCATAGCGTTTTAAAACCCCACCTCGGACCGGCAGACAGGGGGTGCCGGGCTTAGTCTGAGGTGAAGATCTCATGGAAGAGATGTTGAAGTTGGACTCCTTGGGCAACCTTTGCGAGGACGACCGCCAGGCACCCACCGACTCGAGTCGGTGGGAGCACGCTTCTTCTGCATGGCAGAGAGGGATGAAATGATTCACGCTTGGCGCGAGGCTATCGAGAGGCTGTCCATGTCCATCCATGTTTCGGTGGAAGGACACATTTGCATACTTTTTTTTTTGGTTGGAACAAGTTGAGGTGCGGAAGAAGGCCCTGGCTGACCTAGAGTCCTTGGTGGAGCAGGTGAGAGCTGGAATGGCTGGTGGGGGTTTGGCGCGCTCACAGCAGTGTGAATCCGTAGGCCCGTGTTTTTGGAGGGTTTCGAAGATGAGCACTGTCTCCGTTGCTGCGAAGTGTCTTATTACTTTTTTCCACAAGGACAAACATATACAAAATCATTTGATTTTGTGTTGAACCTTATGGGTTTCTTGATCATAGTTGGGTTCTGAGGGCCACATAGGGACTGGTCCAAGTCTAAAGGTTTTTCGTTTGTATTTGTTGTCCAAAGCCAGTGCCAACCTGCGAAGGTAGGTGCATAATTCTCGATCAAGAATGGAAGGGTAGGATTGAGATTGATTAAGTATTATATATTATATATATATGTATAACATCCTTTGTTGATTTCGCCCAATTTTTTCTGCCCTACTACAGTAACCGCCCTCTAAAATCCTTCCCGATCATTTGTTACCCGCCACACTGCCCAGACCCCCCAAAAGGGCCCAACCTCTTCGCATATGCTGCAAGACAAATCGATTCTAATCGCCTTCCTTCGAAGAGATTTGGTTGTCTTTAGGGTCTGAGATGCTCCCTCCACGTACATTCAAGCCGGGGGGCGGTTTCGACATTCTTCAGTTCCAGGATGACCTTCCGACTTGCTGGGGAGTTCGACATGGTCCTACCTTTTCCATGAACCCCTGGTGACCAACAACATCCAAATCGGTGAGAAAGCAAATCGGTGAAAAACAACCATCACATACCATCACCCATTTGACACCTCGGTGGGACGACGTGACAACCGGACATCGCGGGAGGTCCGCGATGATCGACTTCAGGTCGATGCTGCCAAGGCGCTCCTGCTCCAACAGCGCCTGCAGCTCGAGGCTGGGTCCGAGCGGTGGGGGAATGGGGACGGGGTGCCGGTGCGGCGAGCCGACGTCGGCGGGAAACCGGGCGTTTTGGACGGTCCATGTGCTCCGGGTCCCTGAAGGGTGAAGGGGGTGGGGCCACAGGTTTTTTTCTCCAAACAGTTTACTGTTGCCGGTTAGTGTCTCACTGTCTTACTGTGGTCAGGCATTAGTCCGGGCCGATCGTGCAGCTTGAGGAGGACAAGGGGTTCTCAATTCTTTCTTAAGACGGTCCCTCGTTTGGGTCCCGGTGAATGAGACTCGAGGGGAGGCAGAGAGCGATCGAGTCACAGGGCGCGATTCCACTGGTGGTGAGGAAAACGGCGGTGAGAACAGTGGCGAGTCACAAATGCGAAAACGTCGACCTGTGAAAAAGACCGAGTGGCCGCGGTTTCGCACGGTTTCGCTGTATTCTTTGCAAGCATGAGGGGACTCTGCTTTTTGGGTCCTACGTTGAGCCTGTCATCAGAGTTGGTGCGAGTTTATTAACGGCCAGGTCCCAAAGACCATGTCCAGTCAGTAGAGGTTTGTGTGGATCAGATCGCAGTGACACTTTTTGAGACGATGGACGCCACCTTTCACCCCCCTCGCCATCTTTCCTGATAGGTTCTAGGGACCTCCACAAAAGAATCCATGTAACGATTGTAAAGGCGCTTACTTAGACCCCTCTTGCATTTCTTGTCTTTGTTCACGCCAGAATCAACATTTCTGGAATCACCTGGAACGGGCCCTTGCCAGGCGGCAGAGAAGGCCGGCCATGGCGGGCAGCTTGCGGTTGCGGCACAGAAGAGTTCCGTGCACCATTCTTCTCCAAAGATGGGAGTAACACTCAAACACCTTGAACCCATGATCATTGATTGTGATAGTTTGGTCTTTGATTGTGATAG